CACACACACACACACACACACACACACACACACACAGCACTGTTTGCTAAAGGCAGGGAGGCTGTGTCCTGTCAACACACAAACACACACAAGCTCATCCACGCTACTGCCTTTTCAGACCACTGGTTGCTGAGGCAACCATCATGCGCCACCTTTCCTTATAATCAAAGCCATCAGAGCTTCTGCATTTATTTCCATCAAACCTGAAGCCACAGACGGTTTCTGCAACTTAATCTGGTCGCAAAATCATACCTTACCGTGTCAGCGTGACCAAGGTAAAAATGCTTGTGTGTTCTGCGCGGGTGTGTGAGCGTGGCTGCAGCGAAGTGCAGAAAGAGAACTAACCATTAACACCACCAAAGCTCCGTTCTCGGAGGCTCCCGAGAGCTGCCAATCAATCAGCCCTTAATAAAAGCCCTGCTGGTCTGAGTCGGAGGAAAGGTCAGCGAGAGTTGAGAAGTTCAGAGCTGCACTTATCTGCTATGTGTTGTATCTAATGATGGGTCTGTCTGTGTGGCACTGGGCTCTGCTGAGACGGGGGGTATGGTGTGAAGGATTTGTGAAAGAGCAACATTTTGACACTGTTTTCACAGCAGACGTTTCAACAGCTGCTAGGTAGAGGAAAAACACAGGCGAGGAAAGAAATATTTCACAGCTGAGGGAGTCATGACACTGCTGTGAATCAAATCAAAACCAAATCTATCAATTAGCTCAATTAAAGATTTTTATAAATCTATTGGTTCTATTGTGACAAGCTATCAGTCTGTTTTTGTACTTTTTATTAATTCAATGTTTATAGCTAATTAAAGCCATTCATTGGACCTGAGTACAAAAAACAAATAAAAAGTTATTTGGTTATTGGACTTTAATGATAGAAAAACAAGGGCACACACAGTGTTTTTTTATAAAGGAGAATAACGGTTAATATTATACAAGCATAATTTAGTTTAGAACATCATTAACTGTTTATTCTGATAAGCCAGTGACTGATTAAAGTCACTGAGGTGCCCCTCTCCAGCAAGATGAGTATTTGAAAATATCTGTAACAATTTATTTAATTATCGTTAATATTGAATTTTTTTCCTGAAATTACACAACCTTCTGAGGAATGCCAGGTTTTCTTCATTTAGAAGCTTGTTGATGACTTTCCTTTAGTCGTGTGACTACAGTGTTTCCCCTAGGAAATTGGGCTTGGAGGGGGGGGGGGGG